TTTGGAAGTGAATTAAAGGAGTCAACATAGAGAGAAGACCAGCCTTCCTCTCATCTTTCTACTTAATTGTAGATTTTTATTCAATCAATACAACAAGAAATCCTGAATTACCATTTTTTTAATTACAGAAAGGACATTTGAGTTGCAAGAAGGGAGGGGGAGAGAAAAAAATGTTTTATTAATATTTGTGTAAAAACACTTGGTTTTTACTTTAAAATTTTGATTTTAAAGCTCAGGTAGGAAAGCAAACATGGCCTGCCTATGCCTCTCTCTTTATTTATTTTCCCCTCTTTATGAAAAGGTTTTTTTTTTTTTAATTTACTTGTGTCCAAGAGAAGATTCCCATTGCTTTTGGCCATGTGTCTCCATTAGGTAGAATTGTTCACCCTGAGCCCCTTTAGATTGTTGGCTGCAAGAAATTCTCTGGTTGGCTACATTTCAAATCTGTCAGAGCCAGATGTACTCTAGATGCATCCAAGTGTGATGCTGTTAAAGCTGTTGGTTCAGATGACCTTGATACTGTGTCTCTTCCTGACTGTAGTTTAAGTTTTCTACTCTGGCTTCTCACTTCTTCCCCTAACTGATGCTGATTGTTCAAAAACTGGTCTTTTTTATATGCTCCCAATTTCTATAAAATTACAGCAATTCCCTATAGAATCTTGCATTTTTAATGTCCCTATCAAATAAGCATCCGGTGGAAGAGTTTAATTTGCTTACAGTCAACTCTCCAAGTAAATTATACCTCATTGGAAAATTCTCTGCTTCAATATAAGATATTTTATATGTGTTTTTCTAATTTTATATTTGAGAGATATTGGGATGCTGGCTATATAGTTGAATCACTGTGTCTTAATCAATTTGTTATTTCATATAATGTGAAGTTTAGAAGTAGAGGATTCCTGGATGTATTAGTTGAGTCCAACAAATTTACTGGAGGTAACACCCATGAAAGTTAAGGTGGAAAATTATCAGCAGTTGTCAGGGAAATCCTTCTGAATGCAATTCAGGTTTGATGCCCATGAACACAAAGGAAAAGGAAGGAGGATTGAGTAGGAAGAGCCTAAGACTGCAGTGAGGCTCTAAGAAATTAAAACCAGCCTAACAAGAGCTCTGCCATGTTATGACCCATAGAGCACTCTTATGTATGGTAGAAATGACAGTACCCTAGTGTTTACTATGTTCAGTTATTAACTGGGGCTTCCTGCAAGATTTTGGCCTTGACTCAGATGCTATCTTGGATTATTTTCAGCTTGGGGGCTGTCAGCTAACTGCACTCTTCGCAACTAATCAGCAAGATCTTCATTGAATGAAGATCTGAGTGGCACACCTCCATAACTTCCAAGTAGAGTTGCTTAATTCAGTAGCATGGCTATACCATCCAGGATGCAGGTATTTTCCAAATTTCAATTAGGTCATGCTTCACATGTTGCTATTCTTCTTTAGATAGACTTCCTCATTGTCTAAAAACAACAGTCACAACATTATGCCTTTGCATTATGGTGTACCAAAGCAGGAAGGAGAACTTAATCCTCACATGTTTCTGTTTGCAACAAAAACAACTTTCTCTAAAGCTGCCAAGCAGATTTTCTTCTAGTCCTATAAGCCAGGTGTGTGTCACATGCCCATGCTTTATCCACAGGGCAGCTTGGAAAGTGACTTGCTAAGTTTTACAACCTCTAAAATGGGAAGTGCCTTAAACCAGCAAATAAGAAGAGAAATAGGAAGGAGGGGTGGGGACAGCTGTTGGTCAGGTATAAACTACCAGTATCTGCTACCCTGATTATAGCTAAAGTGACACTTAATACTTTTATTCCCAGAAATTCATATATTATAAATTGGTTACTAAATTTGAAATTTATTATACTGGTAGGATCTTTTGCTTATCTTGCATGGCCCCTAAATTCCCATCCCTTCCCCTAGTCAGGAACTTGAAGGCTTTACTTCAGTCTTTCTTCAGATCATTTCTTACTTTTATTGCTGTCATAGTTTGTATTTTATTAAATGACTAAGTGATCAGATATCCAACAAAACTATTTAGGCTAATTTTTTAAAGGACCTCTGAAAAGTCTGATTACAAGCTTTCAGTTTACTATGCGGCTTCTCTAATGCTTGAAAGCTTCAGAGGCACCTAAGGACCAGGGAGAAGAGTAGGACAAACATTGAAATATTGTGTAGTGTTAAAAATGTCTGTATAGGGTTCTTACTTTAATATAAACTTAAATAACTCTATGCTTTCCCTAATATGTTTCTCATCTTCTCTGTTTTTGTACACTATAGCCTACTTCTTTGATAAATCTATTATTTTCAGCACTATAAGCTGTCTGCTACTTTCCCACTTTTCTGTATTTGGAAAAGCTATGTGACCTTTCTAAGCATTAGTCTCCCAATCCTTTATTGCAGTGTGCTGTCCTTTGCATTATAAGATGTTTGTCCCTAACCTCTACCCTCTAGATGCCAGTAGGAATCCTGATCCTTGGTAAGAATAACTGAAACTGTTTCCAGACATTGCCAAGTGTCCCTTCATGGGAAAAATCGATTCCAGTTAAGAATTGTAGAATATACCAAAGATGGCAAGGTTGGTAGAGTTTTCTATATTACACAGTACATCTCAAATAAGTATCTTTTTGTTTTTTCTCTCTAAAGTCCCTTCTAGGTTGGTTTTTTAAATTTTGTTTTCTTCAGTTGTTATTTGCTTAATCTATTGCATGCTTTTTCAATTATGATACTATTGTTTGGTGCAGATAATTATTTGTTATAAGAGAAGCTTCTCCTATGCATTGTATGATTATTAGTGGCACCCTTTGGACTGTACCCAGGAGATAGCAATACTTAACCATCAAACCTAGTTGTGAAAACCAAATTTGTCTTTAGACATGGAAAAATTAGCTCTAGGAGAGAACCATTGAGCAGATGATAGCAACTGTAGGAAGTTTGTAGGGTTTTATTCTGAATAACCTGTAAAATCTTATTTAGAATTCTTCTATTTTTCCTTTTAATTTACATCTTGGCTACTGTGCAATTAGTTTTGTTTTGTTTTGTTTTACAAATACTCAGAGATTCTCCATCTCAGTGCTATTTTTCTTGGCCAGATAATTCTTTGTCATATGCAGTTGTCCTTGTAGGGTGTTTAACCATCTCTACCCACTAGCTAGCAGCACCTTATCTTCACTCCCACCCCAAATTGTAACAACCAATACTGTCTTTAAATATATCATGGTCTCCTTGGGAGCAAAATCATTGAGACTATTGTTCTATCTCTACTTACCTTTTTCTGTAAGCTGTCTCTTCTTTTCATCCTGTGTTTTAGAAGAAATGCATACTTCTCTCCTTTTCTTACCCAGAGACATTGAGTGATAATTTTTGTTATTGTTATTTAAACATGATTGAAGAATATCACTATCTCATATTGCATCATTTTTCTAACAAGTACAGTATTTCCCCTAAAAGGAATTCTGGCAAGTAACATATACTCATTTGCCAAACATTTCTCATTTATCCTCTGAGTTAATAGGAACAGACCACTTGAGTCTGTTTTTTTTTTTTGTTTCATGTTCTTCTATATAGACCACCTTTACAGTAGAATAAATTGCTTATACCTCTATTTCACTACATCTAAATTTTGGGCAACCTCAGGATGAGTATATTGTCTTCCACATAGATACTACATTGAACTAAAAAAGAATGTAAATATTGTAATCATGTACTTCTGGGTTAAAATATTGCTTAATTTCTCTTTAACCAGTGTCAGTAACTTTAGACAAGTTAGCTACTCTGGCCTTCTTTCATCCTCTGTTTAGTAGGGGTAATATTACCTGTTAAGGGGGTAAAAAGCACTTGATATATGTTACTCAACAATGTTAACCATTGTTATTAATTTTATCAGGAGATACTAAGACCCACATAAAAGCCTTTAATGGCAGAGTGTAAACCTCAAATACCTGTACCTAAAATGTTTGCCTCTTTCATTTAATTTCTGACCTATTTGTGGACATAGCTTAGACATGTTAGGGAAAAGATTTTTGTATTATTTTTTGTTTATTTTGATAGACAGGTTAAGGCTGAACACTGAATTTTATGTTTATTTAGCATTATTGTGGAGATTTTGTTTTGCAGTTGTGAGAGATATATTGCTTCTAAAGAGAGCACAAGAGAGAATTCTAAATAAGAAGTTTACTAAAATTGTTTTTTATGGCAAAGTGTCAATTGAGATTTTAACATTTTCCCCAGTGCATGATATATTTTTTGCTTTCGTATTCATTCCCCTGATGTGTGTGTAATATATGGTTTTGACCTTTTCAAGACAAATTGAATTAAAAATATAATGAAAAGAAAAAGCAAATAAAAGAAAACCTTCCAGACACATTACAAAAATCAATTTAAAAAGCAGAATGTAGTATTCTGATAATTAAAAAGAGTTTCTCTTTTCAATTTATTATGCAAGGATACAATTTTCCCTAAACAATAAAATGTGAATACTAGACTGGGGTATATAATTTTAGTTATATCACAGAAGTTTAGTGGTGAAGGGGACCCCAAAATTATTTAATATAACCACTTCAATTTATGAGTGGAGAAATTAAAGTGCAGAGAAGGCAAATAACTGCCCCAGAATTTTAAACAAATTTTAGTTTCAAAAAATGACACAAGGATCTGATTTCTAGTAAGCCAGACACCTTGCTCTGTTGGTTATATCTAGCTGATAAGAATTGTTAAATGTTTTAAAATTTAGCACTTGTTTTTTGATGAACTAAAATTTGGGGATTGGTAATGGAGACATTTTTTATGGGTATGGCACCAATAAATGGTTTGGGGGTGGGTAAGGAGAATCTTTTAACTGGGATAAACTTGATGAAAGCTATGCTTCAATTTAGTACAACTATTTTAAAACAAACAACAACAACAAAAACACCATCACCATGCTTGTCCTCTTCCAAGTATTTTGGAGAAGACAGAAGGACATAGAATGCTATTAAAAAACAAAACAAAACAAAAAACTAGAGTTTAAGCAATAGCTAACATTTAATTTTTGCTCACATAATAATCTATCACTCTCATTTTAAAACATATTGTTTATTAAGGAACATGCACAGCTGTAAAAGCTTAGCAGTATTATTCAAGAATTGATTGTTTCTTCAGACTTCCAGTATATTTCTAATACTGTGTCTCTTGAACACTGCATATATTTAACATGCTTTAAGTCTTCCTTTAGCCTGGTGGAGTTTTTCAACAAAAAACTTTAATTAAACTTCTTGGATTTTCCTTGATATTTTCTTGATCTTCTTTCTGTGTCTTTTTTTTCTTCATGAAGTTGGTATTCTTCTGCCATAGTTGCAAGATCTTCTGGGATAATCTGACTTGCTCTTTTTAGAATTTTAATTAATTCATTGGCAGTCTTTGAATCACTTTTAGTGAAAAGGGTTATTGAAATACCAGTCTTCCCTGCTCTTCCAGTACGTCCTACTCTGTGCACATATTCTTCAATATTCCGTGGAAAATCATAATTATATACATGTGTGATGTCATCAACATCAAGACCTCGAGATGCTAAATCAGTTGCAATCAGTATCTTCACTCTTCCAGTTCTGAAGTCCTCTAATGCTTGTTCTCGATCACTCTGATCTCTGTCACCATGCAGTAATTGTACAGGTATGCCTTGGATGCTTAAATCACTTGATAGGTCATCAGCAATAAGTTTTCTGCTGACAAACACTATGACTTTGTCTTGGGGTGACATGTTTTTTAGGAATTCTTGGATAAGAGCTCGTTTTTCTTCTTCTGTGGTAACAATTACATTTTGCTTCACTGTATGTACAGCAGCCAGATCTAGAGTACCCACATAAACAATCATAGGCTCTTTCAAATAAGAATGTGCAAGTCGACGCACAGTATCTGGCCAAGTTGCACTTGTCATAATTGTCTGTCGGTCTGGGCGCACATCTAGTAAAATCTTCATTATCTGGTGTTCAAACCCTAGATCCAACATTTTGTCTGCCTCATCCAAGACCAAGTAGGTTATACTTCTTAGGTTGACAAAATTATTCATTTGCAGATCATTTAGTCTTCCTGGAGTTGCAATAATGATATCTACACCTTCTGTAATAGCTTGTATTTGCTCTTTTCTGTTTCCACCACCATATATACATATACTTTTAAGACCTTCATATGAATACTTTGAACATTCAGAGTTCACCTGAAGAGCTAATTCTCTAGTTGGTGTAAGAACTAGCATGCCCGGTCCATTCCTTTGTTCTTTAGGTATTGGTTGAGAACTGAGATGAATAAACCCAGGCATTAAATAGGCCAATGTTTTGCCTGTTCCAGTTTGGGCCACTCCTATAAGATCTATTCCTTGTAGAATAATTGGCCATGCTTGTGACTGAATTGGTGTTGGCTTTTGGAAGCCAGCCATTGTTATGTTTCTCAGCAGTTCAGGATATTGCTGGAACGCATCTTTAAATTTACAAGTTGGATTAGGGATGATGCGTTTCTCAGCAATTTTCAAGTCATCACATATTATGTTGAAATTTTCCTTTCTCCAGTTATCCACCTCAGCTTCAGACATCAAGCTTGTTTCTTTGGATTCTATGTAAAAATCTTTCTTAATTGGTGGCAAATCTGCCCATTTTCTTTTTTCCCATTTCATAGACTCTGCCCGGATTTGGTCCCAATCTAACAGTGGTTGAGCCCTTCTGACAGTGTAATTTGTGCTTAAACTGCTTTCAGAAGGGAGTTGGGATGCAGCATTATCAGCATATTTTGAATTGTAGCTTTGTTGTTTTTTAAGAAGAGTTTCTATGGCTTCTTTTGCCTTTGCTTTCATGTCATGGCTACCAAAAATTTTTACCTCTGCTTCAGAATCCCCCTTTATGATCTGTATCTTAGTGTTTGTTAAATGTTGTATATCTTTTATTTTTGATCCACCGCGACCAATTACTACACCAACCATATTGTTGTTCAAGCTAAAACAGAGTGGTAGTTCACGTGATCCTGTGGCCCTAGGCCCCAGATGGTCTGAGAGACTACTCCAGCCATAGTCTTTGCCTTGGTGTTGACCTTGGCATTGGCCCAGATCACTATCTCTGTCTGGGCTTCCACCTCTGACAGGATCACTGTCTTGGTCTGGGCCTCCACCTACACCCGGATCACTGTCTTGACCTTGGCCTCGGCCTCTGCCAGAATCACTGTCTCCTCCTGAGCCTCGGCCTCTGCTGGAATCACTATCTTCGCCTCCGCCTCCTCCCAGATCACTGTCTCGGCCTTGGTCTCTTCCTCTGCCTGAATCACTGACTTGGCCTTGGCCTTGGCTTCTGCCAGGATCTCTGCTTCGGCCTCTGCCATCCCAGCTTCCGCCACCCTGGCCTCCACTGTGTCGCCCTCCTCTGCCTTGGCCTCTACCTTCTCGAGCTCCACCATGGCCACCCCTATTATCCCAGCTGCCTCCAGGATCTCTTGGATTAGACTCCACCCTCTTCCACTCTGGAGCCCAAGACATTGTGGAGTGATAGTAAAGTTAGGGTGGCCTCTTGCCTACATACTTTTGGAAGAATGACAGGATTTAGGCCTCTCCTCAGGCACAGCGGAACCAACGGATTTGGTCGGTGGTGGCAGTTATTTGTAGTTAGCCGTTACCGTTACCTAGGGAACCACTGTTTGATGTGGGGGAGGGGTTTTAACTGATTGGCCAATCACAGGGCCAAGACTACGATGTGTGAGCAGGCATTTGTGATGTAAAATTTAAAAAGACACACACTCTCATGAGCTAACCCGGCCTACAATTAAACAAATTTGAGAATTTTGTCATTAACTTAAAACAATTTAAAGTTTATTTTTTAATTGATGCATAAAAATTACATATATTTATGGGATACTTTGTGATATTTTGATATTTGTAGACATTATATAATATTTAAATTTAGTTAAACTTAGCTATCTCCTCAAACCTGAATCGTTTGTCATGAAAACATTCAAAATCCTTTCTTCTAGCTCTTTCAAATATACAAGTATAATTTTATCCATAGTTATCTAACTGTTCAGTACACACCAGAATTTCTTACTCCTATCTAACTCTAACTTAGTACCCATTGACCAATCTCTTTCCATCCCTCCCTTCCCCAGGTCTCCTTAGCCTCTAGTAACTGCTATTCTACTCTCAACTTCTATGAGACTGACTTTTTTAGATGCCGCATATGAATGAGAACATATGATACTTGTCTTACTGTGCTTGTTTTATTTGACTTAATAATCTCCAGTTCTATCTATGTTGTCACAAATGACAAAGGACATACTATTTTCTAATATTCCATTGTGTGTATGTATATAGACATTTTGATTCTTTAATTTTGTTTCTGGATATTTAGCTTATTCTCCTCAAATTAGTTCTGGTTCACCTTGGGACAAACTTTCAAACAGGTCTTGAACTTATACACATTGACTTTTTTATAAGCCAATGATTTCTGTAGGAGAAAAAAGATTTTTAAAATCATGTTATTTGTTTATATATTTGTATGTTTATTTATTTTAGTGAATTTCTTTTGTACACTCTCAAGGGCCCAGTTCCCATTTAAATGCAGTTCTTACCAATAATACTTAGTCTAGAAAAATTCATTGCTTCCTTCTATCTAGTGTAACTTAAAACATACCATCAAAAGTCTCTTAGATGAATAATATAGGACAGCATTTCTCCCTTATTATTCAGCTAAACATCAGTGCTTGTCCAGACAGTTTCTAGATATTATTATAAGAATGATGATTAGAAGAGACACGTTGAGACATGAGGTACTTTAAATAATTTTTAATAGTTTGCCACTTTTCCCAGAATTTCTTGATTTTTTCTCTCCCTGTGGTTTCATATATTCCAAGATCTTTCCATGAGAAGGTTGTGTAGAATTCATTTATTAGGTCTAATCTAGAAAACAACCTGATAGCAATCTGGACAGGTGACATCTAGCATCTATTTAGCAGTCTCAGAGGCAGGGACCCTCACTTCATTTCAGGAATGTCTATTCTATTATTCCACTTATGAAATGATTTAGTGGTTGCAGCTATTATGCTACTTTTTTCTTCCTTAGGTCATTCTTCTCCTTTGAAGTCACAGACTTAAGTTCCATTCTCCTTGTGTATTTAAGGACCAGTGTCAAATCCCCCTGAGGGTTTCTTTTTATCAGAGTAATATCCCCAGTTTGTTCAATGTTTCTTGCTATGACCCAGTTTATTCGATGCACATAATCTTGTTCCTTCTCCTTTGTAAATGATTCATTGATGACCTTTTGTAACATAGCACATAGAATTAAAAAAAATCAAATTGGCAGAAATGATCTTATTAATATTATTAAGGCCTCTTCACTGACTTAATGGTTGTACTAATTCAGCCTAAGAACTCCTTGCTGCTCATAGTAACCTGATGGGTATTTAAGTTCATTTTTCTTCATCTTATACTTAATTTAGCTTTAGTTTTATTTAACAAAAGTAGATTATGTATTTATCCTTTATTATTTTTCCCTTTATATTTGGTCAATTGATGTGGCCTATTAAATATGATTTTAATGATTATTTTTTTGTCCATCATATTATTCTCTAATTTCAAGCCTTCTGAAAATTTAATATTCACAGTGTCTTTTCCTTTTTAGGGAAAGTTGATAAAAATTTGAACATGGTTGAGTATAGCATCTGTGCCACATTGGGGAAAACTTCTCTATGTCAGCAACTTTACTGAAAGATACATTTTGAAGAAAAAGAAGGCTGCTGGCTAAATATGTTCTGGAAATATAGCACCCTGCATTCTCTACCTTTTAAGAGTTTGTAGAAGTTCAGATAATTTTAAGTATTGGTAAAATGAATTGTTTAATCCAAAGTTTCCCATAGGAATTTTCTAATGGACCTCCTCATTAACTTTAAAGTAAACTTTTTATTTGGAATAATTCTAGATTTACAGAATATTTATGTGGATAGTATGAAGAATTCTCACATTCCCTTTGACCAGTTTTGATTTCTTCTAATATTGTCAATCACTATTGGTATATTACTGTTAACTAAACCCCAGACTTAATACTACTGGTTTTCTCTTAATGCATTTCATTTTGTTTCAGGATTCAGTCCAGGACTTCACATTGCATTTATTTGTTGTGTGTTGTTAGATCTTCTCAGTCTTTCCTTATTTTTCATAACTTTACCAGTTTTAAGGAATAATGATCACATATTTTGTAGAATGTTCTTTCAAATTTGGTATACCTGTTGTAATTTTTCATGATTAAATTGGGGTTACAGAATTCAAAAAACTATATGGCTGAAGTGCTTTTCTTATCATATTTTATTAGGGAGATGTGGACCTGATATCATGAACAGTTGTTAGTAATGTTTATTTTGGTTACTTGGTTAAGTGGTGTTACCCAAGTATTCTCCAATGTAAAACATTTTTCTCCTTTTCCATATTCTGTTTTTTGGAAGTGAGTTACTAAACTCAAAAAACTCTCAAAGGCCCAGTCCCCAAATAAATGCAATTCTTACTAACATTTTGTACAACTAGAAAAGTTCTTTTTAATACAACTTTACAACTTAGAAAACACTGGTCTAGATAATATGCATTATCTGACCAATGTTCATTTTCATTTGATTGTTTAATCAGATGTATTCTAACTAAATAACATCAAAACCCCTCTGATCTTTTCTATGAATGATATTAGTTATAAAGTGATCCTACTATCTTTTAGTTCATTAACTATTAAAAAAAGGAGTTTGTTTAATCAAAATATGGCTGTTATTAGTAAATGTTTTAGTCAACTTTTTCACTGCCGTGACTAAAATACCTGACAAGAACAACATATATAGAGGAGGAAAAAATTATTTTGGAGCCTGTAGTTTCAGAGGTCTCAGTCCATATACAAGCTGACTCCATTCCTTGGGGCTTGAGGTAAGACAGATCATCATGGTGAAAGTATGTGGGAAAAGAAAGCAGCTGGGGACATGGTACTGGGAAGTAGGGGAGAGAGAGAAGAGAGAAGCGAGAGAAAAGAGAGGGGAGAGAAGAGAGAGGAGATAGGAGACAGAAGAGAGAGAAGAGAGAGAGAAAGAAATCCTCTCAACAAGGGAAAAATATAAATCCCAAAAGCACATCCCCAGACACCCACCAACTCTAGCCACACCCTGACTGCCTACATTTAAACACACTGATTAGGTTAAGACTCTCCTAACCCAATCATTTCACCTCTAAACTTTCTTCAATTTTCTCACTCATGAGCTTTTGGGGAACACCTCCCATCTAGACCATAATATTGAAGTTTGTATTGTGTTTCTCTATCTTTATGCTTTAATTACTTCATTTATAATACTCAATATTACATAATTCTAGAGTTGTTGGACAAATCAGAGGTAATCTTTTCCTTCTTCATTATGGGGACAATGAAATTAATTGCCTAAAATCTTTCTAGACTTGATCAAGAATATTCATAAAAATATTAGATAAAATTCTCAAACTATTTCTTGGGTAAGGTCTCTTACTTCTCTACTCTGAAGTGATTTGCTTCTCTTCCTGTTGCTTTATGTGTGTGATAGAACAGAATAGAAAATGTGAAAGTGAAATGAAGGAAGCTTGTATTTTGGTAAGAAGGGGTAGCTGTAAAATTTGAGTGCAGAATAACACCCTTTGAGGTGGAACTCTTTGTAGTGAATAACTGGAATGATCTAGAACTGATGGAAGCCTTTCCTGACTATTGCAGGTATTGAGAGGGATTATTCCTCATTTGTTACCAATCTGTGGTTACCCTTATCAGCTGGAAAAATCAGTTGTCACCTAAATTAAGGGCCACAAGTGTGACATTCTGTGATCCAGATATCTAATGAGCTTATCCTTTGTGTCTGAATGTTTCCAGTGATATATACCCCTTTGACTTGTAGCATGGTATCTTATTGACATACTCTTGAAAAAACAAGACACAAAAATGTGAAGTTATTCGTTATATGGTTTTTAGTGGAGAAATTGGATATCAAGTTCTAATAGGGCAGAGGTGGGCAAAGGAAGGAATTGAGTTTCTAGGTGGGTAATTAGTACCAAGGTAAGAAGAAAGGTAATGAAAGAAAAGACAGCTTGTGTTTAAAGATAGTCTTCATCATTTTGCTTAGAGTGGTACCCATGAACTTATAGGCCGCAGTTGGAGGGTAAAATATCACAGGCAGCAAATCAACCTAATTTTCAATCACTGTAATTTCCACAAAACTTTCTTGTAGATTAGGCAATGCTGCTGGCCTAAAATACTTTTATAGATGAGATTGCTTTATAAATCAACTAGATAGCATTTTATTTCATAATCATTTTATGATATAAGGCAAACTTGACTAATGGAATTCCATTTAGCATTGATTATTATAATTATATTTGATTTTACATGTATATAGCACTTTATAATTTATAACACCCTTCATTAAAATAGTCTCCATGGGATTATATGTATTGTGTGTGTATGTGTATATATATATATGTGTGTGTGTGTGTGTGTGTATACACATCTATACATATATATATACACACATATATTCTGTATATATACAATGTATATATATATTTTCATAATTCTATTTAACAGATATGATGTATTGTGGCCAAAGAGGCTA